TGACAAACACGCATGTTTCACAGCTCTGCTCACCAACGCATGACAATCAACCCACACAAAGCAAAGCAGTACTTCATTTTTGGTGCCAAGTTTTGGCTGTCCGATCCCTCAGTCCATGGCCAGGCACGCAATCACCTGGCGCTTTTTTTTTATAACTTTTACTTTTCCGAAAAAATTACTCTAGTTTCAATTAGCCTCCGCCTTGCGCTTCTGCGTGTCCACAAGCCACGACTGATCAAAAGCCGTTCAGCATGAAATTAACATGCGCTTACAAGAAAAGAAAGATCTGGACCGTCGATTTGAGCTCCTCAAGGGGCATGGCTTCGAACTGCCTGCCGCAAAAAAAATCGCAAAAAAACAACACAAGAAAACTAATGCACGAGTGGGCCTGTAGTACTCTACCCATACATAGCCATATTACACTAATTTAAGACCTAAACCCTATATACCCATATATATATATAACCACCCTAAACCCTAAACCCTAAATCCTAAGCCCAAAACCCTATATACCCATATATATATATATACATATACACGATAACTTAAACCCTAAACTCTTTATATACCCATATGGGTGGTTGTCAAAATTATGGTCCCTTTTTGGGTCCCTAGTATAATACGGCACCTAATATTTAGGGTACCCAAAAAGAGACCATAATTTTGACAACCCTAAACCCTAAACCCTAAACCTAAACCTTAAGTTCCTTAACAGCAACCCAGGGTCCTTCGGAGCGCTGCCCTGTGGCAGAGGCTTTGCTGCCAGGCTTCTTGGGCTTCGACTCAGCGCTGCTGATGCCCTCCCGCTCCAAGGCCTCTTGCATCTCAGCCACCTGGGTTTATGGTTTTGGGGTTTTAGGGTTGAGGGCTTTAGGGTTTGGGGGGTTTAGGGTTTAGGGTTTTGGGGTTTAGGTTTTTGGATTTTAGGGTTTTAGGGTTTTAGGGGTTTAGGGGTTAAGGGTTTGAGGGTTTAGGGTTTAGGGCGACAAGGAGAATCAAGCAGAAAAGAAAATGGAAGATTAGGGGTTTATGATGGTTTATAGCGATGAAGTGGGAGTTTGTGAACATGCGGGCCCCGGGGACTGCAAGGATATGTCAGGATTATAGGAGGATTCTCAGGGTCCTTGTTTGGTATTGAAAACCCACCTCCAAGGCGGCAAACATGGCCTCAATCTCAGCGATCTCATCCTGCTGTCGGATGTGCTCCTCCTCTTCCTGTATTTGGTGGATAGACTGGTTCTTCGGTTGCTCTGAAGGGATTGTATCGCGGCCCCAGGAGCTGCTTGTGATCTTCGCCTGGTTCCGCTGCCCGGTCACCTTGCTCTTGGCTTGCCGGGCCTCCTCAATGATCTCCTGGGTTGCTGTTAAGGAGCTCAATTTAAGCTACTATATTGGGGAAACCCTTTAATTACTCTAAAGGTATATATATATATACCCATTATGGTAACTTAACTTAAGTTCCTTAACAGCAACCCAGTCTCTGGAAGTGGAACCGAGGACCCTGAGGTGGGTGCCCAGGAGGCCCGCTTCTCCTTGGTCGACTCCACGGCGGACACGGCGGACACCAGCATGGGAGATGGCCCTGTGCCCGCAGACTCCTCGGGCACTGAAACACGCTGCCCGTGCTGGGCTTGGGTTGGCTGGGCTGGCTGGGCCTTACCTTTGCCCTTTTCCCGTGCAGGCTTGATGAAGTCAGACAGGCGAAGGCTCCGTGCAGAGCTGCCTTCATCAACCGGCAAGCCGGAGGCCTTCGCAGCAGGTTTGGCCTCGCCCTTCTTCCCGCCTTTGGCCACCAAGATCGGGGACTCAGCTGCCTTGGCCTTTGGGCTTATCTGCGAACTCAGCTGCTCGCTGCCTTTGCGCGGAGGCTTGTTGCGGACCTCGACCCAATCTTGTGCCTCAATGCTCGGACTGCTCTTCTCCGGCTGAAGGAAAGGTGACACAGCAGTGGATTTGGGCGATGCTTTGGACGATGCGGGTGAAGCCTTCTGCGGAATTGCGGGTGAAGCAGCTGCAGAAGCCTTGCGCTTCTTCCGTGAGTCGGCCTCTGCCTTCTGCTCCACTTTCAAGTCCTCCACCTCTACAGCAGAGAAGTCCAGGCCCAGCCGCGAGGCAGATGGACCTTCACCAGCAGCGGTCCCTGGAAGGGACACTGCCAGCACAGACAGTGCCTGCGAGGCGACCGAAGACCACTCCCCGGTTCGGCAGCACTCCTGGATCTGCTTCAGTGCCTCCTCGTCATCCAGTCGGTCCTCCAACAAGATAGTTATTCTAATAGCAGTAATAGTAAAAATAGATAATAATAGTATTCATAGTAACTCCAACATTCATGAAGTTGATGTGATGATAGCGTGTATGAGAGTACAAGTAACATGCAGCGGTAAGGATGATGATAACACATCATGCGCAAACGTAACAACAGTGCTGCTGATGGTAGTACTGCTTGCAAGGCATGCTCATCATCATGATGGTATGACCAGCACTAGCTGTCCCGAAAATACCATGCTTTGTCATCAAAACAGGCGCGAAAACGATGATGATGGTCATCATTTGAACTTCTGATAGCAGTACAATCCCTACGTTCTCAAAGGCTTCGCCCAAAGCAAGACCAGCGCGTGCCGGACAACAGGAAGTTAATCCAAGTAACCTTGGCGAGTCCCTATGCTTGTTTTGACTGCCGGCATTCATACAAGTATACAAGTCATGCTTGCGGTCAAAATACACCACACTGGAAAGGCTTTGCTAAACCCGAATCCCAACCCTTATCCCTACATGCTGAACCCTTAACCCTCAACTGAAACACTAAATCCCAAACCCTAAACCCCAAATCCCAAACCCCAGACCCTAAACTCTAAATCCCAAACTCTTAACCCCAAACCCTAAATCCTAAATCCAAAACCTTCAACCCCAACCCGGCCGTCCTCAAAGGCCTCCCCTAAGCCCATGAAGGTTTCGTAGTCAGCCTGTGGAGCCGCGCAGGGGTCCGAGGCCGGCTCCGGCGGGACAAGGGCCCCCAGTGGTTGCCTGGACTGAGCTTTCTGCCTTTGGGGTTTATAGGGTTTATAGGGTTTATAGGGTTTATAGGGTTTATAGGGTTTATAGGGTTTATAGGGTTTAGGGTTCAGGGTTTAGGGGTTTGGGGTTTTGGAGTTAAGGTTCATGGCTTAAAGCTTAGGATTAAACTTGTTATTGCAACGCCCGTGTTTTTGTGGATTTAGGGTTTAGGGTTTAGGGCTTCAGGGTTCATCATTTAGGGTTTCAGATCAGGGTTCCGCGTTTAGCGCTTCAGGTCGAAGGCTCTGGGGCCCTTTGAAAAAAGTGAGGCTGTACTCTAAATGGGGTTGTGCCTCCTTTGCTACCCGGCGCTTGTAGTAGCCCTGAAAATTCGCCACCGCCATCATACTCCGCACCCTAAACCCTAAGTCTTTGACCTTCAGCGGCCCGTTTACCTCGCTCGCGCGGCAACTTCAAAGGCAGCGAGCACCTCGATGGGCAGCTGAGAGAGCATCGGCAAATGAAGCCTCGACGATACACTTCAATGTTTTAGAGTTTGTTTCCTAAGGTTAAGGAATTGAGGGCTTGTGGTCGGGGGTTTAGGGGTTCAAGGCTTAGGATGTGGTCTTTAGGGGTATGGTGCACCAGGATCTCGTAAATAAAAAGCGCGACCCGCTGAATACACCCAACCCTATGACCTGCCGGATAGGGTTACATTGTCATACTTTTTTTCTTGAAGGGCGGGTCCTCCTCTATACTTCAACAGAAACCTCATCGGCAAGCCCCACAAAAACTCACAAATCCTTCAGCAGCTTGCCATCACCCCTAAACCCTTCCCCCGTACCCTGCAGTGCCTTGCAGCCTACATTCAAAGAATTGGCTATCAAAACAAGCATAAACAAACCCTAAACCATCCTAAACCCCAAACACCAACACTGGCCTTGAAAACATCAGCGGCGCGTTGGCGCAGAGAAAACGGAAAGCCCGATCCAGAAGCGCAGGGCGGTTCAGCTCCCAGGCCTGACTCAGAGCAATTTTGGTATTCTCTAAGGGTTGTTACAAAGATATATTGGGAAAATAATGAAAACTCTCTTTTTCATAAAGCATGTACCGCAAAAATAAAAAAAAAATATGGAACAGTATGGGTATGATATTGCTTCGGGAGGTAGGAAATAGCTTAATAATGTTGGCTATGTATGGCTTATCGGGGTTATAAACCTACTTGCTAAGTCCCCCTGACGTTCCAAGTACTTCCTAGGAAGTGAAACTTGGAGGGTTAGGGGGACAGAGGCTTTGCAATAATGGACAGGCACCATGGAAAAGAAGCATGGAGAATCAAATGAGACCTGAGTCGAAAAAAGGTAATATGGGGGCCCTAAACCCTAAACCATCGGTAACATAGGGGCATCTGGCTGCTTGGAGGGTCACGGATGAGTAGATTAAGAAGGGGAATAACTGGGGGCGTTACATGCATTATGGAGGTCACTAAGGCACTTGCTAATAGCTAAGTTCGCCTGACCAAGTCAGGATTTTATGCGATGATTGGAATAGGCTTAGCGCTTAGGGTTTGGGGACAGTGGAGAATCAAATGGAAAGGAAGATGTAAACTGACATGGAAACCAGATTAATATCAGGGTTCATAAGGACTGTAGGTAGGGATCTATTCAATTAAAACTGGGTTCGGGGATAGACTATACAAATTTTCTGTAAAAGCTTCAAGGGGATGACAGTCATTGGCAACTGCTCAACTTCCACCGTCGGGTTCATCAGGCTTTATGATTTTGAGTGAAGGGGGTTGGCCAGTGGGGGATTTAGGGCTTAGGCTTGAGGCTGAAGAGTTTCGGATCCCAACCCTAAACCAGTATACTGGGCTTATATTGGGATAGTGGAGAATCAAATGAAAAGTGAAATGGAAACTAGGGTTATAGGGGTTTTATAGTTTAGGGTTAAACTCTAAACCCTAAACCCTAAACCGCAAACCCTAGACCCTAGACCCTAAACCCTAAGCCCTAAACTCTAAACCCTAAACCCTAACCCTAAAACGTGTTTGCAGTTGAAGGTTTGAGCCTTCGGGCCTGGGAGCCGGAGACTGCTGGAAAGTGAAAACTCTCTAGGAAGTTGTGACTATACAAGGGTTTAGGGTTTAGGCTAGTATAGAGTTTAGGGTTTAGGGTTGGGGGTTTGGGGTTTAGAGTTTAGTGTTTGGGGCTTAGGGCTTATGGTTTGGGGTTTAGGGTTTGGGGCGTGTTGAGATCGGGGTTAAGGTAGGTCGAGGTTAGAAAATCAGGTCCCGGTCTGTCTAGATATGTTCATATCACACAGGATCCCCATCCTTGCCATACGACCTCTGCAAGGTATACAGAGTTCGTATCTATATATATACACACACATAGCACACCGTGAAACCTTAAAGCTACTCTCTATTGCCACATGTAAAAAATGTGTCAAGATCTACCCAAGAGGCAACATCGCATACGAGGCTGAAGGAGCGTGGGCTAAGCTTTGCACACAGCTTGTTCTCGCAAAGCCTTGGCACGCGGTTTAGGGTCTAGGATTTAATCTTCAGGGTTTAGGGTATATAGAGGATGTCAACGGATCGCCCAAATGAGGTGATAGCTGGCTTGAACTGACCGTTTCCCACGCAGCACTGCGGCCAGAAGTATTCAAGTACTGTTTAGGGTTTAGGGTTAGAGCTATATTATATAATAATTTCCATTTCATGTTCCGTTTGCTTTTCCATTTGATTCTCTATTGTTCCTACATTCCCCTTTATTCCCATTTGGATTCAGGGCTTTGGGACTGGGGTTCGGATCTTGGGTTCACACTGTAGGGGCTCCATGCAGATTACACCAGGACAGAGGGTAAACCCCGGAGGTACAAAAATCCAAATATTGTTCGACCATTATGCCACTCTATCGTTTTCACGGACCCTACTTCCTGAAGTTTAACAAGAAATTCGACCCCTGTAGAGCGACTAAGAGGCTGTTGCAGCGAGGGGACGCCGCTGGATTTAGGCTCCTTCGCTGTAGCCTGTGCTGCACCTTCGTCAGATCCATCGAAGTGGGGTATGGTGTAATTAACAACCGCCGCCTGGTGCTCAGGGCCACACGTGAAACAGGAAACCTGCGCCACGTACTCAAAGCGTTCAGCAGCCCAGTCGCCATCAGGCTTGGAAGGGCGCTTCAATTGCCAGAGGTGGCGGGCTTCTGAATCATCCACGGCCCAAGTGGTTCCTGCTTTGGCCGCGCATCCAACTGCATGGACTCCAACGATTTCAATCTCAGGCCGTTCGTTCCTCTCTGTCTCAAAGATGGGTGATGGGGGAACACTCGACGGCCCATCCAAGAGGCCATCGGTCTCAATCATCATGAACTCCCCAACTTCCGCTTCAGCTGCACTGGGCAGCCGCGACCTTACCACCTGCTTGGGAAGGTTGATGGCTGCAAGGTCAGCCATGGCCGGCCGAGATGCTATGGGCCAAACCCAAAGCAGCCCATCCACATCAATCCCCAAGCACTCGCTGTCACTGACCAAGACTGCCTGCAGTGGGCTCAGCTGCGTACCGCGCTGCAGCTGCCACTCATCAGGCCCTGCCAGCTCGCAGAACTCTGGGTCTTTGCGACGGACTCGTCCCGGTGTGAAGAAGCGGTTGTCAAGGGTGCTGCGGCTTTCGCCTGCTGTTGCCTGCATGCGCCACCATGTAAGTAAGGCCTACACCAGCAAGCTCAGCATGATAGGTTTCAAAAGGCTAGGATACATACACGAACCAGAGATTACAGAAAGCCTTCGGTAGCTGTATTGACCGCCTTCATTGGCACCGCAGCCTACCTCTACTGCTACTATCACCTTGGCGGCACCAATAGCTACAAGAAGAAGAAGAATTAGCGGCAGTAGACATAGCAGTAGAAGTAGCGGCAGCGGTAGCTGTAGTTGTAGTGCTAGTAGTGGCAGTGGTAGTGGTAGTAGTGGTAGTAGTGGTGGTAGTAGTAGTAGTAGTAGTAGTAGTAGTAGTAGTAGTAGTAGTAGTAGTAGTAGTAGTAGTACTTGTAGTAGCAGTAGTAGGAGCAGCAGCAGCAGCAGCGGTA